GGGGGGGGGCAAAAAACCGTAAGAGACAACATAGGGCACATCAAAGGGCAGACAACAACAACAACAACCTCATACCTCCAAGGTGGAGAAGTACGTCTTCTTGAAGTGCTCGTCTCCCTTGTAGAGCGTAGACACGTTGCCCGGGGGGAGAGGGAGTCTGCAGGGAGACACAAATATTATGTAAGGCATCAAGGTGAAATCAAACGCTCGTCAAAATAATGAACTCAAAGAAATTGGCATTTTTCTGGCCGCTGGCCAATTTTTTTTTCAAATTTTCTTTTTTTGGCTCAATACCTTTTATATCCATTTAAAAACATGTCTGTGTGAATTTTACTGAAAAACATTGGAAAAAAGGCATAAAAAATTGTCAATTTTCAGTTTCCAAGAACTCTCAAGCTATGGTAATTACCAAACTTTAGCGGCCATTTTCTCGTTAATTCGATCTCTGAAAAGAGGCGACCCTCATCTCCTTCAATCGCAAATATTATTTCAACTTCTATTCAACATAGATGAATATTATTTCCACCAAAAGCAAGGCAAATGAACAGGCTTTAAGAGGATGCAAATAACCCCACATGCCCAAAAAATTGACGAGTGCCTGATTCCACCACGTCACGACACATATGTGTATGGGGGTGAAATAGGTCACAACTAGAGCAAAACCAGGCAATACGCCACCCTGGAATTACAAAGTTCTATCTGCTCAGTACCTAGTTTTGAGAAATTTGACTTTTAAAAAATTTTGAGTTTTGCAGCATGTCAAGATTTTTCGAATGCAATTCATTGAATATCTTGATAATGGCTCTGTGTAATATTACTATCTTGTTTAGTTTTAGTAAGTGTTTTACAGCACTTGCAACACGATTAGGTCATATAAGTGCCGAAGATATGAAGTGTTACAAGAGAGTAACAAACATAAAAAAGAAGGAGGAGAGATAAAGACGATAGTTGTTTGATACGAAAGAAGGAGCAAACCACACCAGAGCACCCGCCAACCACCCACTTACGATCTTGATAGAGCAGATAGAACATTGTAATTTTAAGGTAGCAATTACTGCAGGAGACAAATTTGCCTTTAATTTAGTTTAAGTACATGTTTTACAGCACTTGCAACACAAATAGAAGGTCATTTAAGTACTGAAGATACGAGGTGTCTTTTTTAGTTTTAATATGAGTATCACCGCCATTGGCACACATATAGGTCATATAAATGCCGGAGATTAGAGGTGTTACTAGATAGTAACACAGGAATAAGAAAAGAAAAATATAACAACAATAATGGATGTCTCATAGGACAGAAGGAACAAACCACTCCAGAACAGCCGCAAACCACCCACACTGCGAACACTCTGTACACACAGTACAGTCAAAACTAGTCTGGCATGCACAAAGAGTCACTCACTTCACATAGACCTGACCCAGCTCATTGTCGTCGGTCTCAGTACCGTCTGGTCGCAGAACTTGCACTGTGGGGATGAACAAAGAAGATAACTGAGACATTACAGGCCTCGCAAACAGAATAAGGTCATACGAGCGCCAGAAGATTAGAGGTGTAACAAGAGAGTAACAAACATAAAAAAGAAGAAGGGGAGATAAGGGCGATAGATGTTTGATAGGAAAGAAGAAGCAAACCACACCAGAGCACCCGCCAACCATCCACACTGATACATTAAAAAATAATTTTAAAAAAGCTTTAGTTACAGTTAAATGACACTTGCAACACAAACATGTCATTAAAAAAAAAGAATTTATGTCGGTATTTTTAGGCTCTCATCCACACAAATCAGATCATTTATGAGGCGGGCCTCTGACCATTCCTGACAAGGCTAACCCAGGCTGAAAGAGATACGATATCCCAGCAGAAGAACTGAGGTATTTGATTTTAAAATTTTCCCAACTCTGGATCTGAACTTAAATAGGTCTCCTGTGAGCAACATTAAATCACCTAACCTCTACACCATAGATGCCAGCACAATAGGTCATGTAAGTGTAGAAAATTAGAGGTGTTATTAGAGAGTAGCATACGAAGAACACAAACACACACACACACACCGCCCTCACACATACACACACACCCCTCCCTCACATACACACACACACACCCCTCCCTCACATACATACACACAGACAGACACCCACCATTATATCCCAGCACAGGTTTACCAGTAGTGCCAGGTGCGGGGTACAGATCCATGCCCAAAAACACACACGCACACACACACACACACACACACACATACACACCCACCCCCCTCCCTCACAGACATACACACAGACAGACACCCACCATTATATCCCAGTACAGGTTTGCCAGTAGTGCCCGGGGTACAGATCCATGCCCAGACACACACACA